TTGGTCCCTGCCTCCATGCTGAGGTACATAACGCTGGCCAGAGGTTAGGGAATGTGCCCAAAGCTGGTAGGTGCCCTTCCTGGTGCACAGATGTGAACCTTGTACTCCTTCCTGCCACTTACAGGGGAGGGGGGAGAGGAGCCAGGTCAGGAATGGTGGTGGGGAGGCCTCTGTGTCAACAGGAAGGGGACTGATGGGCTCAGGGTTCCGTGAGCAGCGCTGCTCCAAGTCTGATTCAGCCCAGAGCCTGTCAGGTCTGCAGATCCTTCCTCCCCCCTTCCCTCCCCTCCCCCACCTCCTGAGTCAGAAGGACCAGGGCTGGAGCCCATGAGTGTGTGTGTGAACCAGCCTCTGGGTAATTCCCATGGGGAAGGAGGGGATGGAAAGGGTGTGTGGGATGAAGTAGCCCTGCTGGCTGGGGGTCCGGGGAAGGAAGTGTCCCATGATAGAGCCGGCTAACTTCTCTGGGCCTGTTTCCTCTCTGTGGAATGGGGGTGAATGGTCCTCTGACCCCCTCCCTTCTCATCACCTCTCTTCTCTGTCCCCCACCCCCACCACAGTGGACCCTGACGCCGTATGGCTCCTCCAAGGCTGGCTCTTCCAGCACCAGTCCCAGTTCTGGGGCCCACCCCAGGTGGAGGCCGTGCTCAGGGCAGTGCCCCGCGGCCGCCTCCTCGTTCTGGACCTGTTTGCTGAGAGCCAGCCCGTGTACGTCCGCACAGCCTCCTTCCAGGGCCAGCCCTTCATCTGGTGCATGCTGCATAACTTTGGGGGCAACCATGGCCTGTTTGGGGCCCTGGAGGCCGTGAACCGAGGCCCCGCAGCCGCCCGCCTCTTCCCCAACTCCACCATGGTAGGCACGGGCATGGCCCCTGAAGGCATTGGCCAGAACGAAGTGGTCTATGCCCTCATGGCTGAGCTGGGCTGGCGCAAGGGCCCAGTGGCGGATCTGGGGGCCTGGGTGACCAGCTTTGCGGCCCGGCGGTATGGGGTCTCCCACGAAGGCACAGAGGCAGCGTGGAGGCTGCTTCTCAGGAGTGTCTACAACTGCTCCGGCGAGGCCTGCAATGGCCACAATCGCAGCCCGCTGGTCAGGCGGCCATCCCTACAGATGGTAACCACTGTCTGGTACAACCGATCGGATGTGTTTGAGGCCTGGCGGCTGCTGCTGACAGCCACCCCCACCCTGGCCACCAGCCCATCCTTCCGCTACGACCTGGTGGACCTCACTCGCCAGGCAGTCCAGGAGCTGGTCAGCTTGTACTATGAGGAGGTGAGGACCGCCTACCTGAACAAGGAGCTGGTCCCCCTGCTGAGGGCGGCAGGCATCCTGGCCTACGAGCTTCTGCCCTCCCTGGACAACATACTGGCTAGCGATAGCCACTTCCTGCTGGGCAGCTGGCTGGCGCAGGCCCGGGCAGCCGCGGTCAGTGAGGCCGAGGCCCGTTTCTATGAACAGAACAGCCGCTACCAGCTAACCCTTTGGGGGCCAGAGGGCAACATTCTAGACTACGCCAACAAGCAGCTGGCAGGACTGGTGGCCGACTACTACACCCCCCGCTGGCGACTCTTCCTGGAGACGCTGGTCGACAGCCTGGTCCGAGGCATCCCCTTCCAGCAGCACCAGTTTGATTCGCATGCCCTCCAGCTGGGGCAGACCTTTGCCCTCAGCACACGGAGGTATCCCAGCCTCCCCCAAGGCGACGCTGTGGAGCTGGCCAAGAAGCTCTTCCTCAAATATTACCCCCGGTGGGTGGCTGGCTCCTTGTGACAGATGAACCACCCCTGGGCCATGTTCTCCCCAAACTCCAAGCCTGGGCAGGTTCCGGGGGTCTGGAGCTGGGCAAGCGTCACTGGAGGTCCCCAAGCCTGGGCGAAGGGACTCAAGACCTGCCGGTCAGATTGAGGTTAGGGGATTTGGGGGGAAGTGAGCTGCCCTCCTCCACCACCCCAAATTCGGGACCAAAGTACCGTTTTAATACAACTTAATAAACTGGTGAATCACCTGGACCTGTCTGTCTGAATGTCACTGCTACTGTGCCTGGGAGGACTCGGAGTTATAGCATGGACACCGGTGTGAGGCCCGTTCCCCCTGTCCCCTTGCTTTTGTCTCCCCATTGTTAATACTAACCCCTGACCTTTGAACTGAGAATGCCTGCCCAAAGCATTGGCTCTCATACCCTCAGCAGCAAACTTTGGAAACTATCACTGTCCCGTGGGACAGAGGCATGCCCAGGGAACGATCCGCGCAGGGCACTCGGTGCCCACGGGGAGCCCACGCCTCCTGCTTGCGGAGCTTCGCCCGACCTCTGACCAGCAACTAAAGCAGGTCCTTCCAAGCAGGGCCTCATCTCTCCTTGACCTGGAGCGGAGTGGGGAGAGCAGGCCAAGGACCTCTGGAGGTTCAGCCTTGAGGTGGTGCTGCAGACACAACAAGGGGTGAGGATCTCTGGGGGCAGGGGCGGGGCCAAGTAGGTGATATCTAGTCCTGAGACCAGAGCCTCTCCCACACGCTCTCCCCATGGACCGCACAGTGGTGCTCATCACCGGCTGCTCCTCGGGCATCGGCCTGCACCTGGCCCTGCGTCTGGCGGCAGACCCTTCCCGGAGCTTCAAAGGTATCTGAGGGGGTTGGGACGGGAGCAGCCCTGGCCCCAGGGCACCTCGGTAAGTTAAGCAGGACGTCGGTCCTCGTCTTGTCCCCGACCTCCAGTGTATGCCACTCTACGGGACCTGAGCACGCAGGGCCCGCTGTGGGAGGCCGCCGGGTCCCACGGGTGCCCGCCCGGCTCCCTGAAGACGTTGCAGCTGGACGTGCAGGACGCAGATTCCGTGGCTGCTGCCAGGGCACGTGTGACTGAGGGCCGCGTGGACGTGCTGGGTGAGCCTCCCCAAAACATACAGGAGCCTTCCCTGTCCTGTGTCCACACCGAGGTGTCCTGAGGCTCAGGGAACACGGGACCGGCCGGGACGGAGGGCAGTGCAGGAGGCACAAGGGGTCGAACCTCTCCCCACAGTGTGCAATGCGGGCCGGGGCCTGCTCGGGCCCATCGAGGTGCACTCGGCGGAGGCCGTGGGCTCTGTGCTGGACGTGAACTTGGTCGGGATGGTGCAGATGCTTCAGGCCTTCCTGCCCGACATGAAGCGCCGCCGCTCAGGACGCATATTGGTGACTGGGAGCATGGGAGGCCTGATGGGTGAGTAGGGTGAGTGGAGGGGGGCTGGGCCGGGCACCAGGCACCCCAGCGGACTTTCCGGGGACGCGCTCCCATCTGAGTCTCAGCAGCCTCATCTCCCCTCAAAGGGCTGCCCTTCAACGCTGTTTACTGTGCCAGCAAGTTCGCCATCGAAGGTTTATGCGAGAGTCTGGCGGTGCTGCTGCCCCCCTTCGGGATCCAGTGAGTCCCCGCCCACCCATGGAACCCTCTGACCCTGACCTTGGGAACTCCCATACCCCGTCTCGGTGGAGCTGCGCCCAGGCGTTCTCCCTGCCCTTCCCTACTGCGGCCCATATCTCTGTGTGCCAGGCACTGTACTGGGCCCATGCCTGTGACCTACCTGGTGAGGTGTCTGTTATTATTGGGAAGCTTAGGCCCAGAGAGATTAGCTGACTGCCCCAAGGTCACACAGCACGTGACCCAGCCAAGTTCAAATTCTGATGCATCCCAGCCGAGTTGGAATTCTGACGCCAGAGTCACTCTCAGACCTTCAGATGGAAGTGGGAGCGCTTTTTGGGCAGTGAGCCGCTTGCAAGCGCTCTGGTTAGCTTTATGCGCCCGTCACCTGCCAGTGCGGAGACCCCTCCTACCCTCCCTCCTGGCGGCGCGGGGCCT